ATGATCTTCGTTTTTTGAAGGTTGCATTTGAAGCCAGCTTTTGCACCCTCTTCTTTTAGTTTCATCAAGAGACTCCTCAGTTCCTCTTCGCTTTCTACTGTAAGGGTGGAGTCATCTGTATATCTGAGGTTATGGATATTTCTCCCTGAAATCTTGATTCCAATTTGTGCTTCATCCAACCTGGTATGTCGCATCATGTGCTGTACATATAAGTTAAATAAGCAGGGTGACAATATACAGCCTTGACGTACTCCTTTCCCAATTTGGAATCCATCTGTTGTCACATGTCCAGTACTCACTGTTGCTTCTTGACATGCATACAGATTTCTCAGGAGGCAGGCAAGGTAGTCTGGTGTTCCCATCTCTTTAGGTATTTTCCACAGTTTCTTGTGATCCACACAATCAAAGGCTGTGGTGTAGTCAATACAGCAGATGTAGTTGTTTTTCCAGAACACTCTTGCTTTTTATATGATCCAAGGGATGTTGGCAATTGGACCTCTGGTTCCTCTGGCGTTTCTAAATCCAGTTTGAACATCTGGAAGCTCTTGGTTCACGTACTGTTAAAGCCTCGCTTGGAGAATTTTGAGCCTTTGCTATTGTTTGAAATAAGGGAAATTGTGTAGTAGTTTGAGCGTTCTTTGGCATTGCCTTTCTTTGTGATTGGGATGAAAACTGACCTTTTCCTGTCCTGAGGCCACTGCTGAGTTTTCAAAATTTGCTGGCTTATCTAGTGCAGAACTTGAGCATTATCCTCTTTAGGACTTGAAAATGCTCAGCTGGAGTTCCATCACCTGCAGTGGCTTTGTTGGTTGCCATGCCTTCTAAGGCCGACTTGACTTTGGATGCCAGGATGTCTGTTCCTAGCTGAGTGATCACACCATCGTGGTTATCTCGGACATTAAGATCTTTTTTGTATAGTTCTTCCATGTATTCTCACCAACTTGTCTTAATATCTTCTCCTGCTTTTAGGTCCATCCCGTTTCTGTCTTTTTTGTTCCTATCTTTGCTGGAAATATTCTTGGTGCCTCTCATTTTCTTAAAGAGATCTCTAGTCTTTACTGTTCTATTGATTTCCTTCCCATTTAGGTCTTCACAGAGCAATGAGTAGAGTTCCCTGTTTCAGTCATAGTTTTAAAGTCTCTCTTCTTATTTATTCCTTCAAACTAGTACTTTATTAAGTTTATCTTCTTTGTATTCAGCTTCCTTAGACACTGTCTTGTGTGTCCTCAGTTTCTGATTAGTTCTCTGTCACTATCACTTATGATTTTTAGACTGAAGCATCTAATAGACCATTCTCAGAAACATGTGAGGCAAGAAGTCCATTTACGAATTACTAGGCACCTAGGATTTGTGAAAGTGTTTGCTGTATCCACTTAAGATGACTAAAAGCAGGAAGTAATCATTAGATTGCCTAACTCCTCTAAATTCAGTGGTGCTTAGAGGTTTTTATCTTGTTTCTTCCCCTATAACCTATTTCTTTGCCATCTCATTTTGTCCAGTGTTCTGTTTGTGGTCTCTCTTTTGAAGGCTACAGGAACCTAGTTAGTCTTCCTTCTGGTGTCTGCACCTTGGTGGATGAGGTTGGTCCCGAGGTTTGTGCCCTTATCCTCTTGATCTGGGTTTTGATTGCTGTTAACTGTGACCAGAGCCTGCTGTGGATATTCAGGGCTGTTTCCCCATTGTTCTGTGGTTGTTACTGCCCTCTCTCTGGTGGTGTCTGCTCTCTGCATGGTGGAATAGAGCCCCCAGACCTGAATCTTAGTTGTGATTCTGATCTGTGGTGGGAGGCAGGTGGGACTGGAGCACCCGCACATGGAGAAAAGTCACTGAGTATTACTCCTCTGGGGATGTTCACTCAGGCTGTGCTCTGGTTCCCCCTCTCATGCGTTCTGCAGACTCTCATGTGATGTAGTGTAGGCACTGCTCTTTGCCCCACCTTAACCATGGGCATGATGGCACATGGCCCTGGTGTCTGACAGATGTTTTCACAAGGTCACCAGCATAGATTCAGTGAAGTCAGGTCCTGGGATTGCATTCAACGTGGAGCTGGACCCTCTGTGGTGCTCTGGGGCAGCTCAGGCTCTGTCCTGGCCCAGCCCCCTTGTGTGGGAGCCCACAGAGTCTACAGCAGCTAGAGCTACCCCTGCCTTGACTGAGAGAGCGCTGGTAGGTGTATCAGGTGTTCTGTAGGGGCTGAGGTTACACAGCCGGTCGTGGGTGTGAGATCGTGGCTTCTGTTGCTGCAGGGAGAGGTGTCAGCTTTTCTTCATCCCTGGGGCTCAGCTGTGCTTTCAGCTCCATCTGAATGTGTGGGCAACTCACAGGTGTCTTCTCCTGAGCTGCCCCCGAGCACAGGAGTCTGCTGATTGTGGAGGAGGTCGATGGGGGAGGCCGTGGCTGGGGACTCAAAAGACCTGCATGGGTGGAATTCTTCATAGTCCCTTGCAAGGACAAGCTGGCACAAAGGATAAGGGATGCAATGGGCTTCTTCGTTGGGCATCAGTCACCAATGCCACTCTGCTCTCGGTGGTTCAGGCTTCCACCACAAGCATCCCATTTGCAGAGCTCCTCCCGCAGTCCCATCCCTTCAGGATGTTTCCTCACAGCCATCCTCAATCCTCTGCCTTGGTCTGCACTCTGAGCCCCACATTTCAGCACCCAGCCCTTGTCTGCAGCGGTGGGCGTTCCTCTCAGGCTGGGTGGGCAGGGCAGGGGTCAGGACCCCGTGTGCAGGTCTCACTCTGTCCTGTTGCCACACACTGGTTGCCATGTCCTCTTCCACAGAGAATGAGGCTCTCCTGTCCAAACTGAGTCCCCTAATGTGGAGTCCTCTTCTCACTTTCATCTCCCCGCAGGGTTGCAGGCCCTATCCCACTTCCTCTCCTCTTTTCCTTCTTCTTTCTCTTGTCCTACCTGACTCAGCAAGAATCTTTCTTGTTTCTTAAATTTCAAGGGGTCTCTGCTAGTGTTCAGCTGGGCTCTGTGAGAATTGTTCCATTTCTCATTCATTTGTGGAGAGAGAGATGATGTCCACATCTGCCTATGCCTCTGGCATCTTGATCCTTCCATCTCTGTTTTATTTTTAAACTAGTTATGGTCATCAATTTTCTCTAAATCTTTAAAGGTATTCACTGAAAATAGCAGGTAAAATTATTTGTTATTTGGTATCTTTCAGCTATGACTCCACAGGACACCCAGGATTTGATGCCGAAGAATCCAACGTTAGAAGATGTATTCCCAAAAGCAAACCTAGGAATATGTCAAATATTTCACCTCAGAAACTTAAATTTAATGAAAGCCTGGGAATATACGAGAGTATATGAAAGACAGAGAGAATGCATATATGGACATAAAGAAGTGGAGACAGTCACACAGAATGCTAACATTACTGCAAAAAGAAATGAGCAACGTGAGTCAAATTGGGAAAAACACCCGCTTCAGTCTTCCACATCTGCCGAGACGTGTACGTGTTTAAGAAAAGATTTCCATCCCTTTTTGAAACATACATGTTCTCTAAAAGGAAACGTGGAAAATCTGGAAGGTAATCTAGTCTCTAGTGCAAATCCTCATTCAGACAATTCTGAACCTAGGTTTCGACTAAACATACATTCAAGCATGTCTGAACACCTGCAATTTAACAGTGAGTGGGAAAACACACAATCTAGTCAATTTGAGGGACCCGTGAGCAGGGGGTCATTTTTCTTCCCCCAACAAATATTTTCTCTCCATTCCAAGATATATAATGTTGATGATAATGGAAGAGATGCAATGCAAGCATCATTGTTGAATACATATTGTGATAGGGTTAATACACAACAACGTTGTATGTGCAATAAAATGAGTCAGACCTTAAGTAAGAGCTCCAGCTCCAATAATTACAAGAGTATTTTTGGTGGACTGAGAAGGTATTCAGGCAATGAACCTGGGTATACAGTTGAAGGAGACGCCAACCTTAAGAATCATCAGGGACCCGAATCTTCAATCAAGGATTCTACAAGTCATAAATGTAGAAATGCCTTTGATGAAATGTCAGGTTTTTCTCTCGATAAGAGTACTTGTACTGAAGAGAGCACTTGTACTGAATGTGATAAGGTTTCTAGTCAGTCTTCAGAACTTATTCAACTGCAGACTCTTCAGAATCCACAGAAAGAAAACAAGTGTAAGATATGTGGGAAAGTGTTTAGTAAGCCATCCAATCTAAATAAACATAGGAAAATTCATACAGGAAGGAAACCTTTCAAATGTACAGAATGTAGCAAAGCGTTTAAACGTCACTCAGTTCTTACTCAACATCATCGCATTCATACTGGAGAGAAACCTTATAAATGCACAGAATGTAGCAAAGCCTTTACTTACAATTCAAGTCTTATTCAACATCGGCGGATTCATACTGGAGAGAAACATAAATGTACAGAATGTAGCAAAGCCTTTGTCTGTTCCTCACAACAAATGGATCATCAGCGAACTCATACTGGAGAGAAGCCTTATAAATGTAAAGAATGTAAGAAAACCTTTCATAGTCGCTCACTTCTCACTCGACATCAGAGAATTCATTCTGGGGAGAGACCTTATAAATGTAAAGAATGTAACAAAGCCTTTTTTCAGTGGTCACATCTTACTCAACATCAGAAAATTCATACTGGAGAGAGACCTTATAAATGTAAAGAATGTAACAAAGCCTTTATTCAATACTCATCTCTAACCTACCATCAGCGAATTCATACTGGAGAGAGACCTTATAAATGTAAAGAATGTAACAAAGCCTTTATCCGTTGCTCACATCTTACCCAACATCAGCAAATTCATACTGGAGAGAGAGCTTATCGTTGTGCAGAGTGTGGCCAAACCTTTATTTGTCATTCAGAGTTAATTGTACATCTTCGAATCCATAGTGGGGAGAAACCATACAAATGTAAAGAATGTGGCAAAGCCTTTATTACGAATTTGGCCCTTACTCAACATCACCAAATTCATACCGCGGATAGATGTTATAAATGTAGAGAATGTGGCAAGGCTTTTATTAAGGGTTCTAGTCTTACTAAACATCAGCGAATCCATACTGGGGAGAGACCATATTCATGTACTGAATGTGGCAAAGCCTTTGCTTACAACTCAACGCTTACTCAACATCGGCGAATTCATACTGGCGAGAGACCTCATAAATGTAAAGAATGTAACAAAGCCTTTCCTCGTCTCTCACTTCTTACTCAACATCAGCGAGTGCATACCGGAGAGAGACCTTATAAATGTACTGAATGTGACAAAGCCTTTGGTCGCAACTCAACGCTTACTAAACATCAGCGAATTCATACTGGAGAGAGACCTTATAAATGTACAGAATGTGGCAAAGCTTTTAGTCAGAGTGGTCATCTCGCTAAACATCTCAGAAGACACTGGAGAGAAACCCTAGTAATGGAACATGTGATGGAATAGGTTTTCCCTAAACATGCCTCAGAAAACACAAGAGTTTATATAAGAAACCTACGGAGATGATGTAACAAATATGTCAAAAGCTATTTAATCAAATGTTAAATCGAAATTAATATCAGGGATTACATACTAGAAGGCATGTCATCAATCCTCTTTTCTGAAGTTTCTCTGCAGGAGAATAACTGTAGGGAGTACTCCATAGTTAAATACATAGAAAATGGATATATTAGCATGAATCATGAGATGAAGGTTGATGGTTAGAACGTTCCAATTCTTAGCAAAGTATGTATGCTTGTTTATAATGACATGAACTGAGATTATTTGAAGTGAATGTAATTCAGCACTCAATGCATACTATGCTTTGTTTCTAGTGTGTTTGCAAACCTAGGTTTTTGATGGTTTATTAAAGATTAGCCTTTTCTTTTTTTTTTTTATTGCCTTCAACTTTTTTTTTTTTAATTTATTTATTTATTTATTTTTATCACAACCATAGTGTATCTTTTTTTTTTTTTTTTTTTTTTTACATGTATTCCCCATCCCGGTCCCCCCTCCCACCAAGATTAGCCTTTTCATATTGTGTTGCAACCATTTCTATCTATCCTCCATTAGAAGATGACGGGTACCGTGATGTAGAATGGAAAGTGACCATCTAAATGGAGGTGTCTGTCATTGATGTGAAATATCTGGAAGTTGCCATGATGTCAGTGATCTTTTAATCTTTCCATGTATTAAAGTAAAACAGAAGTTGCTGGTAAAGTTTCAATGGTAATGTCCTTGATTTGTAAGAGGAACACAATGACAGTTCACTGCAATATTGATGTATCTTTATAATATCAGCGCAAGTCATGAATATTACTTGACAGTGTTGAAATAAAGACAGCTTCTGTTACAACCTATAAATGTATTAGAAACCCTTCCTGGATAAGGCATGGAATTAGTGCATACCATGCTTGCTAAGTGCTTCCTAGGCTTTGTTTGGTAAGCCATGAAAATCACAAATCTCACATCATTATAACAGAAAGATTAATATCTCTCTCTGTACTTTTGATCAGTATTTAATCATGGATCATGCCGTGGCTTGCAAAAGGTTTTATTTCAAATATGTGTTAAATTAACACATGGTTATTAATACCAGTGATTGGCTTTTAGTGTTTTGGTTGATTGTAATGAATGAAATGTTAACCCACCAGCAACAGTAACCTCTCCCACCTTATTTAAGGTTGTAGTGAGGAGACCACAGCGAACTCTTTGGTAACACAGAGAGATGGCATATGTGGAAATTACTTTACTCACTGGCTTTAAACTTCTCATAACTTCATATATATTCCCTCATTTCTATGTTGTATCTCTTCTCCCATTTTTCAGCTACTTAGGTACTGTGATGGTTCAAATAAGAAGGATTATACAGAGTATCGCTGACAGTTTCCCTAAACTGCTCCATGCTGTTGATGCCTCAGCATCTGTCTGGGGAGCAGGTAACCTGCAGTTCCCTGAACTCACACAAGCCAGTCCTGTGAGCACCTGCTCTAGATGAACATCTTCCTTGAGATCAGTTTTGCTGAAACCCAGGGTCTATTCACAGGCCCCCCTTCAATCACACTGAGAGAGTCAGTTTCTAGGGAGGTTGATAAGTCAGGGGTCCTCAAGGAGAGAGGGATCTGGAATTCTCGAAAGAAAAAGCATTTTTCTTTTTGCCTCTACAATAATGTATCCTGTTTGATAACAGTCTCTGGAGAAAAAAAATTCTGGAGAATAATGTGATCTTTAAACGTAAATTATTGGAGTGGGTCTAGTGAGGTCTTTACAACCTTCAGAAATTCTTTTAATTCACTGTAATAACTAATTAAAAGTATATAACTCCATTGCTAACACTAGTGAGGGTGCATTCTTTCTGCCCCTTCTGATGTCTATGTCAAAAGTTTTCTCTCTTTTATACTTGAAGAAAACTGGTACACAAAAGCTCTGAACTATTAAGCCTTGTCTCTAGCCCTGGATTGAATTCTTCTCCTCAGGAGGCCAAGAATCCAGGTGTCTTTCATGGATCCGCAGCAATCTTTCATCTTGGGCACTCGTCCGGGATTCTTCAGGACAAGGTGAGGATGCTTGGAGCGCTGGTTGTTTGTAGTCTAGTGAACACATTTCTGCTACACTTCACTGACTCTGCAGTGTGCTTGTGTGAATGAACGAGATTCCCTGCATGAAGCAAGCGAGGAGGCCTGCTCTGCGGACCCTCGGTGACCTCATATGCCTTAGGGCAGAAACCTGTTGGGGGTTTATACCGACGCGCCAATGACAAGAGGCACCCAATGTCTCTTTCGGGCACTGACTAGAAATGGGCAAGCGTGTGGACTGAACTCTCCTTTCTTGGTGAAACATTCCCGTCTCTTTGACCATTTAATGACTTCTTGGGAATTAGAACTATTAACCTATCTGTCAAATCCTAGACTTTCAAGGGACTTGTGATCTACGCTGTTACTGTGTGGTGTTACTTCGCTCCCCCACTTGGATTGGTAGTCGGGAAGCGCCTAGCTTCACTAGGTATGGGAAGTCAGGAAGCTAGATGGAGCTCTAGCTCCAAGAGTATCTCTGAGGATAACGGTTACTCAGATTGGAAGTGCAATGGGTTTCTTCCTGTGGTAACACTAGCTCTTAGTGGACCAGAGGCCGCTTTCCAGGAGCTTTTGTCCCAACTCCTTGTTCTTTCTGTGGAATCGGAATGAGCTGGAAGGACGGGCCCTAATAATTCAAGAACAAAAATCACTTCTTCCTCACTGGCGAGCCCTTCTCCATCTCTTTTGCTATCGCTTACACTGGTGTGGTGATGCTTGGAAAGAACATCTCAGTTTTATGTTTGTACCAGTCTTATTGTGGTCAGGAATATAGTCAGGGTTGTGCACACGCACTCAGGTGACGATAGTTTCCCCCAGAGGTCTTAGATTGGGAGGCATTCTGGAAGGTTACTCTGATGGCACCCCAGGTGGCATCAGAGGCAAGCAAGGTTTTAATGGCGAGAAGCTGGACGTCAGTCAGGGATGCCATCAGGTCTGCCCCCTGGTGCAACTCCACCCCGTCTCTGTGGTAAAACCGAGAGGGACGAGTGTGACGCCTGCATCGGTAAGGGACAGACTAGGTCCGACCAAGGAAGGAAAGCTTTGTAGTAAAGTCTGTCTACACCCCGATCTAGAGCAGGGAGGGACACCTCTGGTAGAAAGATGGCGCCGGTCACTTTTTTTCTCTCTTACAGATGGGAGCTAACTATTGCAGCCTCACTCCTTGGAACTGTATCCTGAAAACCTGGGATAGATTTGATCCCCAGGGCTTAAAGAAGACACGCCTGATCTTGCTATGTGATACTGCATGGCCACAGAATACTTGGAGGATGGCAATCGGTGGCCAGTTGGAGGGTCTCTTAATTATAGTACTGTTTTACAATTAGACCGGTTCTGTAGAAAACAGGGGAAATGGGTAGAAGTAGCATATGTGTTGCCCTTTTTCTCACTGTGAGGTATGCCGGACTTATGTCCTAAGAGTATAGATTTGACTGTGAAACCTTCAGCTCCCTCCTGTCCTCCTACTTTGCCCCCATACCCAGGACTCCCACCTGAGCAAACTGAAAGTCAGGGAACCGCCCCACACCCCCCACCCCAGGAAGGTTCGCCTTGGTCTCAGTAAAAACCCAAACTGAGGTTCAAATGGCCCAAGTAGAGGTCCAAACAACTCCTATCCCAGTACAACTTCAGACTGCTCTGCTTTCAATATGACCTCACACCACCAAAGTAAGAGAACCTCAGACAGCAAAAAGTAAGGGTGAAATACAGGATGAGATCGAGGACAGGGAACAGATAAAAAAAAGCAGGTTTCTCCAATCTGCCCCTGGGATCGTATGCTCAGAGCATCCAGAGAGGGTGAGGACAGCCACACAAGCTGTTGCCTCTTCATGACGCACCCATTGGGAGAAATAGTCAGTGAGAATTAATAAGCCCTTTTCTTATCAAGAAATATAAAGAATCAAGGAGGATCTGGGAGACTATTTAGAGGACCCAGAAAAGTATATCAGAGAAGGCAATGGCACTCCACTCCAGTACTCTTACCTGGAAAATCCCATGGATGGAGGAGCCTGGTAGGCTGCAGTCCATATGGTTCATTAGAGTCGGACACGACTGACTTCACTTTCTCGCATTGGAGGAGGAAATTGCAGCCCACTCTAGTGTTATTGCCTAGAGAATCTCAGGGATGGGGAGCCTGGTGGGCTGCTGTTTATGGGGTCGCACAGAGTTGGACACGACTGATGTGACTTAGCGGCAGCAGAGAACTATATTAGAGTTTCTACTTAACTGAGAATATGTTATCTCAACAATTTAGGGACCATGCCCCTAAACAGCAGAAGTAATTATGGAATGAAAACAATGTCCTTTTCCCTTGGAAGCATAATTCTTCTAAAAGAAAAGGAAGGAATGAGCACGTCAGTATCTAGGCAGGTTGATAGGAAGTCTGGGGGTCCCCAAGGAGAGAGGGATCTGGAATTCTCAAGGAGGAAGAAAGGACAAAAGTCCCCCACCCCATCTGCATTCAGTTCAGTTCAGTCGCTCAGTCGTGTCCGACTCTAATGAATCCCAGCACATCAGGCCTCCCTATCCATCACCACTTCCTGGAGTCTACACAAACCCATGCCCATCGAGTCAGTGATGCCATCCAGCCATCTCATCCTCTGTCGTCCCCTTCTCCTCCTGCCCCCAATTCCTCCCACCATCAGGGTCTTTTCCTATGAATCACCTCTTCTCATGAGGTGGCCAAAGTATTGCAGTTTCACCTTCAGCATCAGTCCGTCCATTGAACCCCCGACTGATCTCCTTTAGGATGGACTGCTTGGATCTCCTTGCAGTCCAAGGGACCATCAGGAGTCTTCTCCAACACCATAGTTTAAAAGGATCA